CACGCTTTCCCCTCTCTTTGACATCACAGCAGTGACAGGCCAAAACTACACCTCTCTGTGACACCAGAGCAGCGGCAGCCTCAGTAATCCCCTCTCTGTGACATCACACCAATGAGGGACCCAGTTAAAGGTCTCTGTGACATTACTGCAGTGACAACACTAAATTACGCCTGTCTGTGACACCACAGTGGTGACAGACGCATTATTCCCCTCTCTGGGACATCACAGTCATGACAGAACCAATTTAAAACTCTCTGTGATACCACAGACCGAACAACCCCAATTCCATTCCCTGTGTGGCAACAGACAAGTCATAGCACCTGTGTAACTTTCTCTGTCACTGCACAACAGTGATCAATCCAGTTTTCCCCTCTCTGTGACACCACAGCAGTTTTTATGCCTCTCTCTGTGACATCACATCAGAGAGATGCCAAATTTTCGCATCCCTGTGACATCACAGCAGTGACAATATTTTTTTCCCTTCGTTGTTGGAGGTATTGTGATTTTATTGATGATATTGTTGGGAATTTGATGCTCTTTGTTTTTTGGTTATTTTTTTTTTTAGGAATGGGATTTTTGCAGTTGGCCTGGAAGAATTCACTTTATTTCAAAACATACTAGCTTAATGATGTAAAGGTTTCCATATTAACTCCTCAGTTTCTTAGATTTTTTTTTTCTCATTTAGGTTTTCCAGAATTTACCCATCATTTAGCAGTCAAGCACGGATGGCACCCCATTCTTGAAAAGATGGCTTGGGAAAAACCTGTGTCTAACAACAAGTACCTGAGGGCAACAATTTTGCTATTATTACAGGGCCAAATACGAGTGGCAAATCAACGTTGGCATGGAATGCTGGAGGAGAGAATTTTGTGGTGGGCTCCCAGTGACATCTCATGGAGTGACGGTGAGAGTATCTAATGGGGTCTGGGCAGAACCTGGATGTACTTGGATGTTGAGCACTGCTTAAAGGAGGTGGTGAAGAACAAAGCTTTTTGCCAGGAAGCAGCAGCTGAACAGGTGAGCCAGTGTGGATTTGCAGGGGTGATCTTTCTCCTTTACCCTTTTGATTTCATCTTGGCAGTCCCTCCCCGGTGACCTCAATCTGTCACAAGAATTCCAAGAAAAAAAACGGCTGAGCAAACAGTGAAAAGAAGGGGTATAGGCAAGGTGGAGTTCAGGTGTACCCCATCCCAAACCCAAACCCTAAACAGCAGCCCTAATAGTGCTCCCGTTTCCCTGAGGCAGCTGCAGGCAGGAACCCTAAAGCAGCAGAGTGCCAGAACCCACGAGAGGTACAGGCAGTTCCCTGGTGCTAGGGCCAGCCAGGAAGAGATAGTGGGGGGACGATCCACAGGGTTGGGGAAACAGGGGGTTTCCCGCCCCACCCCACCCTGGGCTCTCTGTCCCTCCGCAGCTGGGGATTGCTCCCACTCCTCCTCGAGGCGGCGGTTGGTAAGGCTTCGTGCCTGTCCTCTGCAAAGAGTTCGGCTCTGTCAACGTCTGCCCTGTCTCAGGGCCAAACTTAGGTAGGGTAGGGAGCAACTGTGGATTGCCTGGTCCGGGCTAAGGGACATCTCTTGGGGCCTATGGATAAGGAGCATCCCCGGTTGCAAGCGTAGAGTTGTAAGTTTGTAGGGTTCAGTGGGGGAGCTTGGCAGTGACACAGAGAGGCTGAGGGAGGGCTTCAGAGGTCAAGGGCTCGAGGGCTGGAGACAAACAGTGAAAAGAAAAGGGGTACAGGTTGGGATATAAGGTAGAGTACAGGACTATTCAAACCCTAAACAGCAGCCCTAACAGTACCACCATTTCCCTGAGGCAGCTGCAGGCAGGAATCTTAAAGCAGCAGAGTGCCAGAACCCCTGAGAGGTGCAGGCAGTACCCCTGGTGCTAGGGCCAGCTAGGAAGAGCTAGTGGGTGCTAGGGCCTACTGCTGTCATAAAAGATGGGGTTTCCATCCTTGGGGTACCCTGGGCTCCCTGTCCCTCACTGACTGGAGAGGGACACCACCTCCTTGAGGTGGTGGTAATTTGGCTGTGTCAGCCAATATTGCTGTGCAGTAAGCCTCTGCTTCCCTGTGGGGTGAAGTGTGCAGCCCATGAACCTGGGCATTCTCTAGAGAAGGTAAGTGCTGGGTTTTCACAGATGTGCCGCTAAGATCCTGCATTGATATTGGGTCTTCTTGATTGTAGCTGACGGAGATACGACATCCTGGCAGTGGCAGGAACTTCCTGGATAGCGCAGCGGCCCTCCTGGGGGTCCTTGTGTGGATCCTCCCCGCTGGGCATCCGAGAGCTGAGTCGAAGGCTACGACCAGCAGAGGGGATGAAAGCGGGGTGCTGAATCAGGACTCATGACCCAGGATTATGGAGTCAGCTTTGGGGACGGGGAGGTCCAGGCTGTGGCCCCTTAGGCCACACGGTGGGAGAGCCTCACTTTTGTTCACAGTGCTGAGGTGTGCAGGGCAGAGCAGCCCCGGGGCGTGTCGTGCCACTTGTCCGTCATGCCTTCTGTGTGTTTTGTGCCTCTCGTGTTGTACGTGCCTTGCCTTATCTCTTCTGGGGGCTTACCAGAAACCCCGGCACTTGTAGCACTCCAATCTCTGATCTCTGGGTCCCTCGGCCCGACACCGTCAAAGCTTTGCCTCGGGAGCTCTCAGAGACCTTGGAATCACATCTCTATTTAAAAGCATCCGATAGGATGTCTTTTAGAGGTCTTGTTCCGAGCTGTGTGGACAGCCGTGAGCCGCAAGAATCCATTGCTGTGGCTTAGGACTTGAAGAAATGCAAAGATAGGTAGAGGATTGCGACCCTAAGATTCTTGGGCATCCGTCTTGGCAGTTCCTGGAGTTAATCGTTCCATCAGCATCTTCTTCCTCCTGGGTTCTGTGAGCTTCATCAGCTCGCCTTCATTCTCACCCGGCTCATCTCGTTCCGCATTCTCTTGGTCCTCTTGTGGCCCAGAGCTGTGTCTCCCCGTTGTGTCCCCTTGTCTGTTGTCTTGTGTGTCACGGGTGTCTGGGTGTAGTTGTCCCGGAGCTGCTCTGCCCTGCTGCCCAGCCTGGCTGTAGGTGTATTGAAATTTGTGGTGTAGGGTGTAGTTGGAGTCTAGCGGGCATTCCTAGATGGACACAAGATGTCTGGAGCTGTGAAGTTACCCTGCAGCACTTTGACTTTTGTCTTAGCTTTCTAAGCATTGAATTATTTTCTGCCCAATGTGGGGTTCAAAAGAGTAAGAAAAACCTATACTGATTACATTCTGTTGGTACTTACTGTGTGCTGAGATAAAGGACTTTGTAATGGTGTTAATTAATTTCATGTCTCTCAGGGTGGAGGCCTTCATGTAGTTCTAGTCTCTGAGCTTTTTTTGAGGTTTTAACGCCTTTCTTGTTTCTAAGTTTATTTTCTTACCCAAAAATAACTCAAATATTGTCCCTACTACATAACTTTCACAGTAAAAGGGCACAGATTAAAATAGCTGTTATGCTAAGCTCAGTAATAATGATTGATAAAAACTTTTTAAAAGTACTGAAGTTTGTACCTAGTAGCTTTAGTTTTTAGTTTCTTTGTCCTCCCCTACATCACAATCCCAGTAACATGTTTTAAAAGTGTATTAGTAATTATACCCAGTTTATTAGAAGAGCAGCAAAAAACCCCACTACACTCTTTTTACTAATAATTCATACCACATCATAAAAGTAAAACAAAACACAAAAAACTATATAAAACTTAACACAACCAAATCTTAAAAAAAACTTTGACAACTTACTAAACGCAAAACCATTCAATGAGCCTTACTAAAAAAACCTAACCAAATCTCTACCTTCTAATTCATAAATAATAATCAATGCTAAAAAAAAATAACTAGAGACCTCATTAACAATAAAAAAGATTAAACTACTAAAAATTAAGAAATCACTACAAAAACAAACTACCTGTAAAAATCCATCATATAAATATTCATATCCCCAAAAATACAACTAATAAAAACCACCAAAGCAATGAACAGGTACATGCAACTACAAAAAAAAAGATCAAAAATAAACTTCAATTAACCATACAAAACCAAATTGTTCCTAACTCAATAATCTCATAATACCTCGCATCATCAAAATAAAAATACCATCTCCAAATAAACACAAAACCAAAAAATAAATTTAGCCATAAACAATATTGCTCACATTATCAATAAGTTTAAAATATATGCTTCAATCAAACAATTAAACCCCCTATAACAATAATCCAAATAGAAATATAAAAAACCTAACAAATTAACTACATTACTGTACCCCAAACACACCAAAATAAACACTACATACTCACAATAATAAAAAAAATCACTAAATAAATAAAAACCTACCCTATACCTCACACTGCTACTCAAAACATCATCCTAAACCTTAAAAAACAAGTCCTTTAAAAACATAATACCCCTAAAAAATTAAAGCAAACCATAAAACTCATTTCAAAAGAACCTTATCAACACCTAAACTAAAAAACATAATATTCAGTAAATATATCATATCCCCTACCATGCACCAAGTACAAATAAAAAAAAATACAATAAAGTATTAAAAACCATCTTAAAAAAAATAAATAAAAAACCTTTCAAATATTAAAAAACATCTAGCAAAAGCCACCTAATTCATTATCACCCAGAACTCCACCACTGTACCCTCGTGTTCCCATGTTTGTTGGGTTGTGCCGGGGTATGTCGGGGTGGTCCTCGGGGTGCATAGTTGTGCACCGGTACGCCTGCGTTTGCCAAGGTGTGCATGCTTGTCCTCTGCCTGTCACAGCTGTGGCGTCACAGAGTGGATTAATGTCGGGTTGTCCATGTTGTATTGCCACAGAAAGGCGGAAATGGGGCCTGTCACATATGTGATTTCAAAAAGTGAGGGATACTGGGTCTGTCACTTATGTTGTATCACAGAGAGACTTAAATTGGGATCGTTACAGCGATGGTGTTTAGGAAGGGGAACACTGTGGTTATCACTGCTGAGTTTACACCGTGGGGCGGAAATTTCGTTTGTCACCACTGTGGAAATTTGGTCTGTCATTGCTGTGGAGTCAAAGAGGGGTTGAAATTTGAGCTGTCGCAGTCGTGGTGTTACAAATAGGCGGAAATATGATCTACAACACTTGTGGTGTCACAGTGGGGAATACTGGCTCTGTCACTGCTGTGGTGTTCCAGAAAGGCATATATTGGGTCTGTCCCTGCTGTGACGTCACAGAGAATCGAAAACTGGGTAGAACTGCTGTGCAGACAATAAAAGATGAAATTGAAGCTGTCACTGCTGTGATGTCACAGAGAGTGAAAAACTAGGTTGCTCACTGCTGTGTTGAGAGAGACAGGCGGAAATTGGTATTTTTACAGCTGTGTTGTCGCAGTGAGAAGAACACTGAGGCTGTCACAGCTCTGTTGCCACAATGGGGATTAAATAAGGATTTAAAATGATGCAGTGTCACAGAAATTCAAAAATTGGTTAAGTAGCTGCTTTGATGTTAGACAGAGGGGAAAACTGGGTCTGTCATGGCTTTGGTGCCAGAGAAAGTACGAAATTGGTGGTATCGCTACTGTGGTATTAGAGAATGGCGGAAACTCACTCACCCCTCCCATACACCCCCCATCCCCAAGCACTTCCCCATGCAGTGCAAGCCCCAGCCCCTAACACTTCCCCCTATTCTGCAGCCCTCCCCTGAACAAAGACCCCCAAGTCCACACCCCCACTCCCAACGCGCCACCACAGTGATGAGCACCGCCCCCGGTCGCCACACGAGGCCCACCAAACACCACCTCCCAGCTGTCCGTCAAGGGGCTCCGCCCCTCAGCACCATCCCCAGCTGTCTGTCAGGCTGCTCCGCCCCTGTCACCGCCCCCAAGCTGTCCGTCACGCCACTCCGCCTACATCACCACCCCCAAGCTGTCGGTCACGCCCCTCCGCCCTTCGGAACCACCTCTGATGACGTCACACAGCCGCCATGTTTACTGGAATCACGTTATCAAAATTTTTAATAAAATATCCACAAATAAAACAAAAAACCCTATGGTACAGCAAGCGGCAGACCCGCCACACATCTGGCCGAGCCCGCCACGTCAAAAAACCCGTCGCGAAATCGCGAAACCGATCACAACCGCCGGTGGCTCTGGAAGTGCTCCGGTGGTGGCTTGGCGACGGTACGAACCCGCGACATGGGCGCCGCTATATTGACCGGAAGTACGTCCCGGTAGCCATGGTAACCGCCCCGCATATGCTCTGCCCATGCACGCCGCCATCCTATCCAGTAAACAAACCACCCAAAGCAACCCAGAACGCGGCGCCGCGAAGTGGCGAAAAAACGTAATGAAATGCTGCATTGCCGTGCGACGGTTCAGCACGATTTCTGGCCGTGGTGCAGCGTTTCAAAACCCCAAAGAGGCACGCAGCACTCGATACCCACAAAGACATGGGCGAAGCCATTTTGAACCGGAAATACAGGACACCGCAAAGTTTTTGCCGGAAATACAGGGCGCAGCCATTTTGAACCAGAAATATAGAACGCCGTCACATTTTTTGTGGAGTTTCAGTTGGAGTTGTTCTCTGCCTTCTTTGGGGGTGAGGAGCAAAGGCTGAGGGGGACGGGGTGGAGACTGGGGGGCTCCCGTGTCCCTTGGGGCACACCGAGGTCCCCGCCAGAGGGAGGGACACGCTGCGCTGGAGGAGCAAGGTGAGCGGGGAATGGGGAGGGCTCGTGCTGGGTACCCTTCCCCAGAGAGGACCCCGAGGTGCCAGGAAATTCCCTGGGAGGGCTGGATGCAGAATCCAAAAACCTGTGGAGTTATTCTGGTTTTTACGGTACGTATTGGCAAGGGACAGGAATTGACCTCTCTAAATCCCCTTGGAAAGAACCCCCTCTCTGTGCACTCCGTCGTTAGGGTTTTGTTATGTCAGGAATGGCTTAGGGTTAAGAAAGTGGGTTTTGTTTTTCCACCTCTTACTTCACTGTAAAATGGGAGTGTATAAAACACATCTGTGCATCCATGAGGTATTAAAATGCACCGTGAGAAATTTCTGTGCCTAAGTTCCATAGAGACGAGCGCGTTCTGCACTCGGGGTTCACTAGGGCTTTATATTTTTGTCATTCTGACGTGTTAGTTGAATGAATTGGTAGAGTTTCCAAGAGAAAGAAATGCAAATTTCAGAAAGCAGAACATTAGAAAGAGAAATACATAAATATATACATGTAAAAATAGAAGGACATGTAACTAGTTAATATGTCATCTAAATAATGTCAGTAAATATATACATCTCAAAGGGAAGTAATATTATGCATGTTTTTGTAATATGCTTTGACCTATATTCCATAGAATTAATACAAGAATATCTACAAAATAGAAAACAAATCTATAAGTTCAAAAAGGATTATTTCAATCTAGTTTAAAACAAAGGCTTGCTTCTTTTCATTTGGGGAGAGGCAGGGCTTTAAAATCAAATCTCCAATACACAAATATATGTTAAATATATAAAGATATTTAAGTGTTATAAATAGATACAAATAGGTTTATATTGAATATACAGTATGAATAATAGATGTGGAGTTGTTAATAGAAATATCTTTTAATATAGGATACCTTGTGTGTTCTACCTAGTTCAGTATGGTATATAAATATGAATATACATTCATATAAAAATATAAAAATTGATATTTGATAAATTGAAAAAAATATCAATATTGATAATTGATAAAAATAGGCAGTAAAAGTATTTAAATCACCATTTAAGGTGAAGGGGCTTTTTGGTTTTTATTTGGTTACAGGAAGGGCTTTTAGATGAATAATATCGAAATGAAAATATACACATCTATAATAAAGAAATAAATATAGGGGAGCTAGGTAGATATATCTAGAGAGAGATAAAAAAAAAATAAATACAAGTAGTCTAAATCTAGACAAGTAGATTAATATTCAATGTAAAAACTACATGGATATATGTTAATTTATTTTAATGTCTGTTATGAATTATACCTGTGTGTATAAATATAGAAGATCAATATGATAGAAATAGATATTAAAAATATTTAAATCAAGTGGCTTTTTGTTTTTTATTTGATTAGAAGCAGGGCTTTTAAATAAATAATATAGACATGAAAATATACACATCTATAATAAAGAAATAAAAATAGGGACATATATATATAAATAAAAACAAATAAATACAAGTAATCTAAAACTAGACAAGTAGATTAATATTCAATATGAAAAATATATGGATAGACGTTAACATATTTTAATATCTATTATGCATTATATCTATGTGTATAAATCTAGAAGATTAATACAATGGAAATATATACTAAAAGTATTTCAATGAAGGGGCTTTTTGTTTTTTATTTGGTTACAGGCATGGCATTTAAATGAATTATTTAGAAATAAAAATATAAAAATCTATAATAAAGAAATAAATATAGGGACATATAGATAGATAGATAGATAGATAGATAGATAGATAGATATATCTAAATCTAGACAAGCTGGTTAATATTCAATATGAAAACTATACGGATAGATGGTAATGTACTTTAATATATGTTACACATTATATCTGTGTGTATAAACATAGAAGATTGATATGATAGAAATAGATATTAAAAATATTTAAATAGAGGGACATTTTGTTTTTTATTTGGTTACAGGCGTGGCATTTAAATGAATAATATAGAAGGGAAAATATATACATCTATAATAAAGAAATGTATATAGGGTGATATATATATAGAGACAGAAAGCCATAAAAAAGAAATAAATACAAGTAATCCAAATCTAGACAAGTAGATTAATATTCAGGATGAAAACTATATGGATAGATGCTAATATAATATAATTTAATATCTGTTCTGTATTGTATCTATTTACAAATAAAGAAGTTCAATATGATAGAAATAAATATTATAAATATTTAAATCAAGGGACTTTTTGTTTTTTATTTCGTTAGAGGCTTAGAAGCAGGTCCTTTAATTGTTTAATATAGAAATGAAAATATAGAAATCTATAAAAAATAAATATAGGGGGATATATATATATATATATATGTAGACATAAAAAAGAAATAAATACAAGTTACCTAAATCTAGACAAGTAGATTAATATTCAGTATGAAAACTATATGGATAGGTCCTAATATAATATAATATCTGCTATGTATTATATCTGTGTGTATAAATAAAGAAGTTCAATATGATAGAAATAGATATTAAAATATTTAAATCAAGTGGATTCTTGGTTTTATTGGGTTACAAGCAGGGTTTTTCAATAAATAATATGGAAAGCAAAATATACACATCTATAATAAAAAAATAAATATAGGGAGATATACATATATTTATATATATAGCTATAAAAAACAAATAAATACAAGTAATTTAATCTAGATAAGAAGATTAATATTCCGTATGAAAACTATATGGATAGATGTTAATAGAATAAATTTTAATATCTATTATGCAATATATCTATGTATATAAGTACAGAAGATCAGTATTACAGAAATAGATATTAAAAATATTTAAATCAAAGGGCTTTTTGTTTTTTATTTGGTTACAGGCATGGCATTTAAATGAATAATATAGAAATGAAAATATATACATCTATAATAAAGAAATAAATATAGGGAGATAGATAGATAGATAGATAGATGGATAGATAGATAGATAGATAGATAGATAGGTAGATAGATAGATAGACAGAGCTATAAAAAAGAAATAAATACAAATTATGTAAATCTAGTCAAGCAGGTTAGTATTCAATATGAAAACTATACGGATAGATGGTAATGTACTTTAATATCTGTCATGCATTATATCTGTGTGTATAAATAAAGAAGATCCATATTGTAGAAATAGATATTAAAAATATTTAAATCAAGGAACTTTTTGTTTTTTATTTGGTTACAGGCGTGGCATTTAAATGAATAATATAGAAATGAAAATACAGAAATCTATAACTATGAAATAAAGAGAGGGAGATAGATAGATAGATAGATAGATAGATAGATAGATAGATAGCCATAAAAAAGAAATAAATAC